TAAAAATTTTTTGAAAAATTTTTTAGTTTTTCCAAACGACGCTTGTTGGCTATGGCAGTAGAGACACTTCAACGACTCTTGGCGGAATGGGAGGTACTCAAACTGCTCTTGGAGGCTTTGTTATGCAGACTGCTCCTGCTGGAATGGCAACTGCTCTTGTTGGTGGAGGGTGTGGCGGGACGATGACAGCTCTTGGAGGTGTGAAATCTGCTGCGGGTGGTGCTTCTCTTCCTGGTTCAAGTGAGTTAAAACTTAAATCTCAAATTATCATAATTGAGCTGTTATTTTTATTTAAAGATGTTGGTCCTTCTTCGCCTGGCCCTCAAACCGTTGGTGTCGAAGATGAAGAAGAGCAGGAGGAAAATAATGATGAATCAACAACAGTAAACGATGAATCAACAACAGCATCCAGAGAAATTGCAACACAAACTGGAAAAATACGCAGAAGAGGAAAGGCAAGTTTAAGATTATACTTGGGCTTTTACAGGGTTTAGTAAACTCGGACCGGAGGGGGACCTGAAAACCGGGCCTGAGTAAACTCGGACCGGGGGATCTGAATACCGGGCCTGAGCAAACTCGGACCGGGGGACATGAAAACCGGGCCTGAATAAACTCGGACCGGGGGACATGAAAACCGGGCCTGAGCAAACTCGGACCGGGGGACATGAAAACCGGGCCTGAATAAACTCGGACCGGGGGACCTGAATTCCGGGCCTGAGTAAACTCGGACCGGGGGACATGAAAACCAGGCCTGAGCAAACTCGGACCGGGGGACATGAAAACCGGGCCTGAATAAACTCGGACCGGGGGACATGAAAACCGGGCCTGAATAAACTCGGACCGGGGGACATGAAAACCGGGCCTGAGCAAACTCGGACCGGGGGACATGAAAACCGGGCCTGAATAAACTCGGACCGGGGGACCTGAATACCGGGCCTGAGTAAACTCGGACCGGGGAACCTGAATACCGGGCCTGAGTAAACTGGGAAGGACTAAGGCGTCTTTTACTTGCTATACCTTGGTATATCTTTTTTTTTCAGGCATCAGGAGCTCAGAAAAAGAAAAACCGACGTGCCAGAGCTATCGAAGCTTCCAAAGCGGCTTGCATTTGCTGATTTTTATCAATTAATTGGACTTTTGTCTTGTTCAGTGGAAACTAATTTTGGAAATGATCTTTTGTCAAAGCCTTTTGTTTATAAGATTGACAATTATGTTAAATGAATTGATTTATGAATTTTTTGATTTATTATTTATATCTAATTTAACCAATACTGTTTTTTTAAATCAAAAAGAGAAAATTTTTTAATTTACAGCATCTCCTGTATTTTTTTAATTTTTGGTGTAGTGGTATAATGTTTTGTTTTGGGTGTATTGAGGTCGTGGTTCGAGTCCTCTCGTGGAATTTTTTTCGTTTTAGTAAAATAACCTAAAAGTATCAACTTTCTCTCGTTCCCTTTTTTAAATTCTTCAAATAAATTTTTTTCAGCACGGAGAGATGGAGCAGTCTGAACGAGATTTGATTATGCGCGAGTTCCAATCTGACTCTTCCTGTGTATTAATTACTACCGATTTGTTGGCACGAGGAATTGATGTTCAACAAGTTTCTGTTGTGATAAACTATGATCTGCCTGGAAATCGAGAGAACTATATCCTTAGGTATTTTTCATTTTTTGGTGTAGTGGGAAAATGTTTGGATTTTTAGTAAAAGGTCATGGGTTCGAACCCCCTTCTTGGAGAAATTGATTTTTATTTTGAAAAAATTACTTAAAATGTAAGAAACACTAATCCTAAATAATATAAAAATTTCTTTTGAGCCCTTAAAAATTTTTCAAGTCCTTAAAAATATTTTTTTCTCAGTATTGGTCGTTCTGGACGTTTTGGACGTAAAGGAGTTGCAATCAATTTCGTCACCAAAAGTGTGAGTTTTTGAAAGAAAATTTTTTTCTAAAATTTTTTAAAAATAAAGTCCCCTTTTAATAGGATCAACAAATGCTTAAAGAACTTGAGTCATACTCTTCAACCCAAATTGAAGAAATGCCGGCTGAAATTGGGGAGTTGATCTAAAAAAATTAAGGAATAGGAAGAATATAAAAAAGAGAAGAGAATAAAAAATATAAAAATTAAATATATTTTTTTGATATAGGAGAAAAAAAGAAAAGTGTTTTTTTCTATGTTTGGTGAGTGTTCTATTGTTTTGTTGATTCAAATTTGGAATAAAAAAATTATAAAAAAATTTTCTTCCAAAAATGTTATAAATTGGCCTAATTTGACGGAAATGGGTATTTAAATAAATTGCTAGAGGCTTTTTTCTACGTAAAGTTGGTCTGGTATATATTTTAACTTTAAAAAAATCACATAACAGATTGGCCAACAGAGAAAGTTCGGGCAAATGAGAAAGGCTATGGTACGTTGTCAGCAATTAAGCCGGATCAACTCTTCCCTCAGCAAAACAACGTCAGTAGTAATAATAGAATAATGGCAAACAAAAGCTGTTAGGATTGTTCTATATTGCAAAAGAAAAGGTGCTCCTTATATTTTACAAAAAAATAATTTTTTTCTATTTTTAAGGCTATAATGTGTGATGGTTTGTAAACAAACAAACATTTGTCGAAGTATAATCCAAATGAGGAAAAAATAAATATATAATCAATCCTTTAATTAAAGTTCTTATTGTTTTGTTGTAATTTTCTTTATGATAAATAAATTTGTAATTGTTACTACTATTCTATTTTATATTCTAAAAATTGTTTGGAAAAATCTTTTCCAAATTAAATTAAAAATTAATTTGAATCCCAATTTTTGTCACAATTTTATTAACAAGCTGTCAGAAATCTATAAGTGGCTGATATTTATATTTTCTTCGAGAAAATTTATATTTTCTTCGAGAATTTTGGTGTCGAACTTCACCTAAAATCGAGCTTTCTCCTGTATGGTTTTCATATAACTCGTTCCCTAATGTAATACCGTTTGACTCAGGAAAAAATAATTAAAAGAGAGCTCCTTTAAAAGTTAAAAGAGAGCTCCTTACCTGTTTAAAAAAATATTCTCTCTCTTTAGTAATTTTTATTTAAAATTAAAGATTTTTTTATTTCATTTCCAAATATTATAAGAGCAAAAATATTAAGAGCACGAAAATATAAAGTAATTAAAAGATGAGAATTTAAGGAGTGAGTAATTTAGTAAGTAAGTAATTTAGCTAATGAGTAATTCAAAGAGCTATGTGGTGTGGTAAAATAGAGTAATTAAAAGAGCTCATGATTCAAAGAGCTAAGTGGTAAGGTAAAAGAATTAAATAAGAGAGTTAATGGTAAGGTAAAAGATAAAAAAAAAGAGTTATGGTTAATTGTAAGGTAAAAGAGTTAATTAATGTAGTATTAAGAAATATTACAAAATAGTATTTTAAAGAGGTGAAGGATATTTATTAAGAATGATTCATGCTCTTTATTCGCTGATATTCACCTTTATGTAAGTTACACATAGCACAACGCATTGGTCCCAGTTCTTCTATCTCCTTATCTGAACCATATAATAGAACTAATGTTCGTCTAGTTTTATTAGTTCGAGCACATCCATAACAAATATAACAATGTCTACACGCATAATGGAAAACTGTTGGAGGATTTACAGTACAAATAATACAAGTTTCTTCTTCAAAGAATTTAATTGATTGCGCCTTTTTAAATTTCTTCATATCGAAAGGTAGTATAACACGATTTATTTGTTGTTTTTCCATTTTACCACAATTATGCTGATTTTCTTTACATTCATAAAATTTACAGAGCTCCTTTTCAACTAAAAAAATTTTTTTTAAGTTTTTGAATTTAAAAAGCTTACGATTCAGTATATACTCATTACGTTGTTTAGTACCAAACAAATACATACGAAATAGTTGATCGTATGAAGGAGTTACATTTTGTAAGCGGAAATCATGAATGGATGTTGATCGTTTTCTATAAGTTTTCTTCTCCTCTTTCTCAATATTTTTTTTAATATTGTTTAATAGTTCGAGAAAACGTTGTTCATTATTAAGTTTTTCAATTTTATTTTTTATTGGAGATTGATTGTCACTAGAACGTTTTCTTGTGTTGTCCATTATTTCAAATTAAGAGCAAAAAAATTTTTAAGAAAAAAATATAATAACTGTTACCGCAAAATTTTCCAATCCTTGTATCAAATCCACGCCCGAATCCATAAGAATTTCGCGCATTTAACTTATTGTAAATATCATGAATGCCGGCAAAAAACAAACGTTCACCCGAGAACACTCAAGAAAAGGATTAACAGAAAAATAGAAATATATACAAATATTTATATAAAAAAATATTTAAATAATTTAATCTTTTAAAATATAACTCCTTCCTTTACAGATCCATAATTTATTATAACATTTCGCTCATTTAGCCTATTATAAACATCAAAGAGCGCCGATAAAGTAAAAAACGTTCATCTCAAGAAAAGGATTAATGGAAAAAAAAGAAAAATATGCAAATATTTATGAAAAAAATATTTAAAAATAAATTTTAAAAAATAATTTCGAAATATTTAAGGTTAGAGTAATATTAGGTAGGAGCTGGGGTATATAAGGAGCAAACTCTCAGAAAAAAATTTATTCGTCCTCACTTTAATAATATAATTAAACTATTAATAATGCCATACCAAAAAGTTTCTGACGAATGTGCTAACATTTTAAACTGTTCTGTAAAATCTTTGCGTGATCAACTAAATCAGCCAGACAATCGTGTAATAATTTTGAAAGAGCTCCTTGGACGAAAAGTCCAGACAACCTATGAAGATAAGAATGGGTTTAAAAAAATATTCGTTATAGGAGGCTTATCAAGACAAGGAGCAACTTCTCTGAAATCATATGGAAAATTGCGTTTCCCGTTTAATGTGAGCGTTGCTGCTCATTTTATGCGCGTCATAGAATTAGATTGAGATATCCATTTCTTCACTGCATTATTGAAAGATTTCGACATAGAAGACAGGATAGATTTTATCCTATGGAGCTATTAGAACTTATTGATGATAAGGAAGATCAGAAAGATAACACTAATGATTGGATGGAGCAACTTTACTCTGATATGTCTACAAAATGTAATATTTTTGATGAGCAAGAAAAAACTGATGAAGATATGTATTGCTATAGTGGTGATCTGAGCCAATGGTGAAATATAATAAAAACAGAAATTGATTAAATTTAACACTTTATTTGTATAATTGTGCACACTTACCCCTAAAATTACCAACTTCTAATTGTTAATTTTAATTTTGATACTCCTAACTCTTAATTGTGCTCTTTTCTCCCTAAAACTGATAATTTCTCTTTCTTAATTTTACTCTTTTATTTTCCTATTCTTAATTGTGCTCTTTTACCCCTAAAATTGTAAACTTCTCTTTATTAATTTTGCAACATTTTTTTGTATTTTTATCATGAATAAAATTAATACAATATTGTAAAAAATACAATTTAAAAAATAAATTAATTACAAATGAAAAATTAGGGAGGGGAAATTCTAGGATGAATATTATTAATGTGACCAAAATTCAATACAACATAATCAGAGGGTCGAATGATCCCTTTGCATACTACGGGTTTGTACATTTTATATAAAGGTTTGGAAATGACGCAACCATCCTTAATAGACGGTCGCAAGAAATTAGGATACAAAATATTTATCGGTTCTAATTCTCCAGTTCTTGCATAAGATAAAACTTGTTTTTTGAATGTATCATATCTGAGCCCTTGATTTTGAATCACATCGTAGTTTAGAGTCATTCCGCGGACTTTTAAAACATATTCAAAAGTTGTAGTTTGTCGCTCCTTACGTCGTAATTTTAAACCGTACTGTTTTGCTCCTCCGCTGCAGTACTCCAAAATTTCATGTGATGGATACTCATTTGTGAATTCCCCCAAGTGGGGACCTAGTTGAAGAGGACAGTTTCCAGAAGGATGAGAAAAAATTAGGGAGTCGGTGTCAGTATACAGAAGGTTACATCCGGGAGTTCGGACGACTTTTTGCATCGCTCGGAGCAAATGAATTCGCGCTGCGGATGTTGTCCATAAGGAGATGACAACATTTGAGCAAGCATGCTCTTCTACCCAATCTTTCTTTTTGGAGTATGTGATGAGCAAAATATCCGGTGTGAGCTCATCCAAAGCTGAAACTTCAATTGATCTATCGTCTAAATATTTTCGTAGTTCAGCAGGGTTGTTTGTGATAGCACATTGAGAGAGACCAACATTTCTTAAAGAGAATCTCCCCCATAAGTTGTTGAGCATTAATTTGGCCTGAGTACGCTTCCCCTTATTTGGCCCCATCTTGCTCCGCTCTATATTAATTCCAAACTTATCCTTACACTCTTTAATAAATTGCTCCTCTGCTGCAAAATTGTCTTTAATGGAGGAGTCAAATCAAGATGAATGTATTTTTGCGGCCATAAATTCAGAAATATATGGAGCAAATAATTTTTCGTCGCTCTCCCTGAACTCCAAGACTCTGAAGAGTTTTGTTACTCTATACCCCTCCTCGAGAGCAACATTGAGTTCTATTGAAGTGCATGTACTCACCCAACCACGTTGCTGGTCTGAATGAGAGCATGAGTAGTTTTCATTCACACCTCCCTCAGGGTTCTCTTTTGCACATTTGGAGCAGAGAGGAAAGAGCAACCTCTCATCTTCATCATCTCCCATTTTCATAGGAAGAACTGGAACGTCAATGCTCCTTGGAGGGATTACAAAAACTTTCAATATTGCCAATTCGTATATGTTGTCTTCAGGCTTCCTCCAATTTATATCGTTGTTGAGAATATGGACTTGAGGATGGCCAACAGGGTATTTTGTTGAGACATTAATAAAAGGATAAAGGGAGGTGACGTCATAATATGAGATCTCTTCTCCTTCTTTTGGTGAGTAGAAAAGCTGAAGTGGTCCTGTTCTACCACCAAAGAAGCAGGACCGAATATTGTTCTACCACCTATATATTGTTCTACCACCAAAGAAGCAGGACCGAATATTGATTGGGCCATCATCCAAATACTTTTTAAAGGAGCTCCTCATCTCTCTATCTTTATCCAACATACCCCTAATCTCGCACTCCCAAAAGACTTGTACATTAATTCCCTGGCTCTTTATAAAATTTAAGCGAAATTGATCTTTTTCTCGTTGTTTTCCGGCTGCAATTCCATTTGGTAGTACTATGTTGTATTCAGGATAGCATCGCTCGCAGCCATGCCATGCACAACCATTCACCTCTATTCCAAGTTTCTCTTCTTCTATCCATCCATCTAATTTATAATTTCCAATCTTCTTTTCTCCTTCTTTAGAATATGCATTCTGAATATTTACATTGTACTTCTCCTCATACCATTTCATAAATTTCAGAGCAAGTTTGCTTTGATTTTCTGCATTGTCATAACCCTTTTCTGGAACAAGAGCCAAATGATTTTCTTTCAAGTGATTTGTTCTAAAATGATTCATACAAGCAGAAGCTATTGTCATTGATTCCCTTAAAATATCAATGCCTCCATGAGCTTTTGAAGACGCTGCTCTTTCACCTGCTGCTCGTTTTGTGACTTCAATGAATTCACTTCTGAAGGCAAGAAGAGCTGCTAGCAATATCTCTACATCATTGGTACAATAAGCAGCCAATGCTTCATTTAAGAGAAAAGGGAGCTCCTTGTTCTGTTGATACCATTTGTCAAATTCATTCTTTTTTTCAGGCATCATCCCATCCGCAAAGTAGTCAGATGGTGATGGAAAGATCTCTTTTCCATAGTTGTTGGGATGGTTTGCTAGGTGAGGAAAGAATGGCTTATCCTCCACCTTAAGAGCAAACGCTGGAACCAATGAAGCCAAAGACATTGGCATGATATTGAAACTATCTCTGAAGATGAGCATATTCTTCTTTCCAAGACGAACTTTCATCTCATACATTTTATTCCCATTCTTGAGCATTTCGGGAGTGAGTCCTTGAAGAAATAGCTCTTTGAAAACGATAACCATATCGAACCTCCCTCCGAAATGTGAAAAGGCGATTGTGTTGTAATCTTTTGTTAACTCAATAATCCACTTGACAAAAGAAACAAGTGGATCTGTTGTTACATTTTGACTATCAACAGTTGTTTTGTAAAATGGTCGCTCTGAGAAAGTTACAAGTTTGTTGCTCCCACAGATCTTACACTGCTCCTGCTCCTTTTCAATACATTTGGGGCATGTTACTCTTGCTGCAATAAAATTGGGTTGATGTAGCCTTCCATTATTATTCAATAGTTTTGAGTGTTGTGTTGTCTCAAGATCAAAAGCCACAATCCTGTAAGGCTTTTGCTCCTTGAGCTCCAAAGGTCTAACAAAACATCCTCTCTTTGGCTCATGGAAACTACTGCATGTTCTACAATATTTTTCATTACAAACATGTTGAGCTCTTCCATTTCTGGTGTTGTCTTTTGTATCCCAAATTACACCACACAATTCACATTTCTTTGATGTTTTACAAAAGTTCGATGTTAGATGATAATTAAAACAATTCTCGTTGTTGAATCGTTTAGAGCACCCGCTACATTTTTTAAAAAAGTTGTTTCTTGGAGGGCATGGGAAGAGTGGCCCTATTCGGGAGCAACTAAGACATTTTGCTCGGCAGGTGGTAGAGTGTGTTTTCGGGTGAGAGTAAACTGTTTCACACTCCAAACAATAAGGTTGTCCAAAGAGCCCACCTGTGCAAGTAACTCCATTGAAATGTGAACCGTCAAAGTAAAGGAGCAAAGGCGAATTGTAGTTTTTTGGACCATATTTAAAACAGGGCTAATAGTGGCCCAGACAATCAAAAATAAAAACTTTAAAAATAAACTGGCCTGTATATTTATTATTCAAATAGTCCATGATAGGAGGTACCCAAGTTTCAGCATCATATACTTTTTTCCCGAGAGGAGCTCCAATTTGATGTATGAGCTCAAGAGTATCCTTTTCAAATTTTCCTCTTTGACCATACCTCCCATGAATGTATTCGTAATATTGAGAAGCAGATAAATTTCCAACAAAACGGATCATTGTTGCTATCAATGAATAAAATAAACAGTATCCGTCATTGTTGTTTTTAATTTTTATAAGATTTTTCTTTTTTATTTGGTGATGTACAGGAGCTAATTTTCGATGTGCTCCTCCTATAATATTGTTCCCTCTAGGTAAATTGCTCTTATTTACTATCATCACGTTAAGTGAGAAGGGTGCTCCCCATAAAGTAATACCTGTCTGTTTTTTGCTCTGTGCAACTTTTTTGAATTGGTTTAACATTGAATCAAAAGTATTTTCCGTTGTTGGTCGCACAGGAATCCAAATATCAGATTCGAGGAGCTCAGATGTTAACGTGCAGCCCAGCTCTTCAGGTTCAACTCCGTTGTTGCGAGCACTTGTTGAGGCCTGATCAAAACAATATTGAAATATCCCTGAAAGAAGAGCCTCAGGGTCTTTAGGAATATCTTTTATAAGAAATTTTGAATAATTTTTGACAATATTAAATTTCTTAATGTGATGTGTAGAATCACTTATTTTTTCTATATAATTTTCAGGAGGAGCTCCTTCTCCTCCCTGGTTAAAAGATAAAAGATTTTCTATAAAGAAGGAGCGAGATTTTTTTAAAAGAGGTTGATAAGACATTATAAAATAATTTTTAAATGAGAAATAAATTTAAAAAATTCAGCCTTTTATACTTAATATTTTGAAGAACTTTTCATTTAAAATATAAGCGGTATCATCAAAGAAGTTTTAATTGCGAAAAAAAAATTTTTAATTTACATAAGTTTAAAATATCGGTAACATTAAAGAGAAAACATAAATCATTTTATTTTTCAAATTTAATTTTATATTTGGGTCAAGGTCAATTATTTTATTGGAATTAATTTTTAATATTCATTTGTATTCATTCTTAATTTTTAAAAATGAGCTCTTTTCAAGGTGAAGACGAAGAACATTTTATCAAATATTTCTCTGGACCATGTAAATATAGAGAATTTTCTAGGAAATATATCAATGCATTGAGCGAAGATCTCAAGAATGGAGTGAGATTAGATATGGGAGCAAGACTTAGTTTACTGATAAATTATTTTAGAGCTGGAAAATGGTGTTATGACTGTTTAAAATTTACTCTGGATCAGCTTCAAACTGAAATTTTTACATCACGATCAGAAGATTTTTTCATGTATGAATTTTACCTTTGTCCAGATTGTGTTAAGATTACTAAAAACTACCTTGAAATATTCAACTAATAATTTTTTATAAGTTTATTCACAATTTTATTTACAAACAAATCTGTATTTTTGATCGTATTTAATAAATTGATATACTGATAAATTGTATAATTTTGGGATAAATGATAAATTAGGGAAATACAGTGGTGAGCACAGGTTTTAGAATAAGGTGATTGATAAGGAATAAAATTTCTTTTTACAATTTGAAAATTTTTTAAAAATGAGTTTATAATACATGAGCTTATAGGTAATGCAAGACTATCAAAATAAAATATTTGATCTTTTTCCACATAAAGAGTAATCCAATGTGAGCCATCTTTATCATGAGAGTCCAAATTAACAATAAACGCTCCCAGATATTTTTTAAGAGAAGGGAGTAAGTCACATGGGTAGCATCCCTTGAAAATTTTGTTCGTCTTTGAGTTTGATCTCAAAATTTGAGTTATCTGGCTGCTGTACATTTCTTCGCAAAATATTTAATCTGACCCAAAGTATTGATCGAAATTGATAAATAACAAGACTTATAATAAGAAGAATGTACATACAAATCATTCCCCAACAAAATATATGTCCATATATATCTTGTGGTGACTCTTTACATAGTTGAATTGTTGGAAAATTGTCTCCGAAAAGACTTGGAGCTGAAATTTTTTCAGCTGTAAAATTTTTAATTGGATAACCCAGTTTTCGTAAATATTCCGAGTATTCTGGAATATTTTCAATGCTTTTATCATAAGCTTCTACACAAGGAGCAAAGAGTCGAATTAAAAATAAAATTTTTGCAATATTTTTAAAAAACATTTTTATTTAAAATGAATAGAAAATGAACAATTTCAAGGTTTATATAGTAGTATCACTTGTTATTGATCGATTTTTGTCTAACATTATTAATGCATCTGCTTCTTCCATAACTATAAGCATCACTCCTCCCTCTGGAATAGGTTGACTAAATTTAATATTCACGGAGGTCGACCCATTTTTTATTAAATCAAATGTTCCTCCATTATCCTCACCACTATTTGTAAGATTGAAGACATAGATACAGTGGGTTCGCCCATATTGTTGGTATGTTATCCCATTGCTCTCTGAAGAGCCATTAAAACCTATAGCCTCATTCATGTCATGAAATGCTCTCACATATCGATTTGAACCATAATCCAAATCATAGGGTGCCTGGGGATATGAGCGCCCATTTGCTATAATACTAATTTCTCTTACTCTAAAAGGTTGAAAATTGAAAGGGCTCCGCTCTTGAGTCCCTACATAGTCAGAGTTTGCAACTAATCCTAAAGTAATACGACGGGGGATTTGATCCATAAAAAGATTTGCATTGAATTCATATCTTCCTTGACTAATAAATAAAGGTTTCATCATAGTTTTTCTAATAGAATAACGAGCAGGTTTAACGTCAAGTCTCCTAGCGATATCTAAAGCAAGACCATCCATTAAATCTAATTTTTTTACATAGAGTTTACAACTAATAATTTCAAATTGATATTTAGTAAGTTGAGCTGTAGGAGCACCAAGAATGGCAGGAGGAGGAGGAGCAATAAGTACAAATTTTGGTTCATTGGGTAATATTTCAATGTCAATTTCACAATGATTTATGAGATATTGAGGCTGATTAAATAAATCAGCATCTAGTTTCGAAATAAACTGTACTGTTCGACTATTTACAAATAAATTTTTCCTAGCTGTAAAACTTTGACCTGATTCTTGAGATGTATGTGTATCATAATAATAACCTGCTGCATTTAAATGAGAATTTTTTGCTCCTTGCGAGTAGGATAATTCATGTGACAAGTAAGTTTTATATGCATAAAGAGAGTTTGAATTGAATATTTCTCTTCCATTTACACTTATTCTCATATTATTAATAAATGTACTCCCTATCATTTGTATAGGAGCAACATTTTCATCAAGAGTAATATTTACATATTGACCTGTTGAACTCTCTTTTCGGATTCGAAATTCAGTGAATAGGAGTAGTATATAGTGGAGTTTTAAAACATTTTTCAGAAAAAATATTTTAAAACACCACTAAAAATACGAGCCGAAAAATTAATAATAATAGCAGAAAAAGTGCTAAAAAATTTGAAGATAAAAATCAAAACCTACAAGAAAAATGTGGAAACAAATAAAGTTGTTGCCAACGTTGCTTAACTTGCCAGAACGGACGGGTAGCACATTAAATACATAAACAAATTATCTACTGTTAAATAAACCTTCAAAATTATAGCATAAATAAAAAATTAATTTAAAAACTGGAAAAAATAAAAAGGAGAAAGAGGAAAATAAAACGAAAAAGATTTTACGTACACTGTTTTAGAATCTTCAGTCATCTCAAAAATCTTGTAAAATATAGTCAGACAAAAATATAAAAATATTATAAAAAGCATAAAATTCTTAATCAAAGTGTATTAAAGTGACATAAATGGAAACAGCAAAGAGTAGTACATAAATGGAAACAATCCTGTAAAGTGTGAAAAAAATAAACATCGCAAAAAATAACAAAACAAATAAATAAATGGAAACAGCAAAGAGTAGTACATAAATGGAAACAATCCTGTAAAGTGTGAAAAAATAAACATTGCAAAAAATAAAAAAACAAATAAATAAACGGAAACACCAAAGAGTAGTAAATAAATGGAAACAATCCTGTAAAGTGTGAAAAAAATAAAAAACAAATAAATAAACGGAAACACCAAAGAGTAGTACATAAATGGAAACAATCCTGTAAAGTGTGAAAAAATAACAAAACAAATAAATACACGATTAATAAGTTGAGAAAAAATTAGAAAAAAATAAAAATAAAGAAGAAAAAACTAAAAAAGTAACAAATAAATGTATCAAAAAATAACTTCAAGATTGTAAACAATTAAATGAAGCAATTAAATGAAAAATACACTTGTAAAAAATCACTAAAAAAATTAAACAATAAAAATAAAACTAAAAAAGGAAAATCACTTAACAATTAACTTCTTACAATACAAAACTAGTAACGCCAAATTAAAAAAAATGTGCAAATAAAAAAATCAAATTATTGCAAAAATTTTGTATATATAAAGATCTCAATTTTGTAGCAAATATTTCAATTAAAATTTATCATTAAAAGTATTTAACATTAATCAATATTTCTTTAAATATCTTCAAATTAATATCCTTTTTTTCAAAAAAACTTTGCCGCCCTTGATAGGATGATTTGTCTTTTTTGAATAGTTCTATATCCTTTTTTTCAAAAAAACTTTGCCACCCTTGATCGGATGATTTGTCTTTGTTTTAAATTGTTTAAAAATTTTGCTACCTTTTATAGGAAGATATGCTTTTTTCTTTTAAATTAATTTTTATTTTATCAAAATTTAAACGTTTTATTTGAATTTTTAGCTAATATAATTTTATATTCATTTATAAATGGGGAACAAAAGTAGGAATTTAAGGAAGCCGTTTGGCAAGAAGTACCTTTAATTTTAAAATATAACTAAACGTTTACTTTAGGAAAAGATTGGGGTTGATAAAAAGGCAAGCAATGAGGATTAGGGCTATGATCACCCGATATATCGGAGGTGGAATTCTCTTGAATGTGATGAAAGCCGAACTGGTTACGTGTAGGGTATGTAGAAAAGTGTTGTCCAACAACTTTGTACAACACAGCTATGAACATCTTGAGGAATGTGTTTGGAGCTGCAAACTTTGTGATGTGGTATAGTCCTTGATCGGATGATTTGTCATTTTAAAATAAATTTTTTTAATTTTAAAGGGTTCCAATAAAAGGCAGGTGGTAGTGAAACATAGTATAGATTTCCACGGAAAAAAACTTGCGCCAATCGACTCGCGCTGTAGATTCTGGGATCAAATAAAAGTAATAATTTTAATTTTTATAGTAAAATTTTTTAAAATGCAGGAAAACATAAAGCGGTGCTTCCCATTGAATGCTCGCGATGTGCCCGAAGACTATAAACCGAGTGTAGAGGTTGGATTTTTATAATGGGGAATATGATTTGTTTAGACTTAGCCCTTGATCGGATGATTTGTCTTTTAATTTTAAGGTAGTAAAGCAAATGCAAAAAATGTTTTATGACTATGTGAGGAATTACCACCTTGCCAGGGCGGAAAAAAAATTGGCGAAAATGGACAAAGTGCCCACTGAGAAAAAAGGCAAGAGTAAAAAAAATTTGAAAGTCCACTGGGGGCCTGTAGAAGTAATTGAGTACCCGAAGGAAAGTAATTGAGAAAAAATAAAATTTTTGATAAATAATTAGAAAATATAATAATAATTAGTTTATTAAAATTAAGCTTATAATAATTAATAGAAGTAGAATACTATATTTAATATTAATACTAAAGAAATAAATAATTTTCTCTGAAGCTTTTTTTAAATGTTTGTTTTAATTAAATAGTCAATAAAATTTCTTTTTTTAATTGTTTTTAAAAAAATTCACCTAATACAAAATATTTTAGTTTATTCTACAAATAAAATATATTAAGGCAGTAAAAAATTTTATAACTAGAAATTCATCTAAATTATATTAAATTAATAATTTCAAGTCCGCTATAATTATTTTCTCTTCGCCGATCTCTTTCCACTTCAAATAAATTTTAAAAAATTATTTAAGTTGTTTAATATAATTTTAATAATCTCATTGTTTGACTAATTGAACTTTTCAAACAGATAAACATTTCACTGTACATAAACCCCCAATTCGTCCCACTGTACATAAACCCCCAATTCGTCCCACTGTACATAAACCCCCAATTCGTCCCACTGTACATAAACCCCCAATTCGTCCCACTGTACATAAACCCCCAATTCGTCCCACTGTACATAAACCGCCAATTCGTCCCACTGTACATAAACCCCCAATTCGTCCCACTGTACATAAACCCCCAATTCGTCCCACTGTACATAAACCGCCAATTCGTCCCACTGTACATAAACCCCCAATTCGTCCCACTGTACATAAACCGCCAATTCGTCCCACTGTACATAAACCCCCAATTCGTCCCACTGTACATAAACCCCCAATTCGTCCCACTGTACATAAACCCCCAATTCGTCCCACTGTACATAAACCCCCAATTCGTCCCACTGTACATAAACCCCCAATTCGTCCCACTGTACATAAACCGCCAATTCGTCCCACTGTACATAAACCCCCAATTCGTCCCACTGTACATAAACCCCCAATTCGTCCCACTGTACATAAACCGCCAATTCGTCCCACTGTACATAAACCCCCAATTCGTCCCACTGTACATAAACCCCCAATTCGTCCCACTGTACATAAACCCCCAATTCGTCCCACTGTACATAAACCGCCAATTCGTCCCACTGTACATAAACCCCCAATTCGTCCCACTGTACATAAAACCCCAATTCGTCCCACTGTACATAAACCCCCAATTCGTCCCACTGTACATAAACCCCCAATTCGTCCCACTGTACATAAACCCCCAATTCGTCCCACTGTACATAAACCCTCATCAACCCAACACATTTTTTAAATTTTCTTCAAGTAGTAGCTATCCCCCCTGGTCGTTTTCAAAACATTTTTAAAATAATTCTAAAAACATTTTTTTAAAATGCAATTAATTTTTAAAACTAATATTATTTTTAAAGCAGCCTTTTTGTTGGCAATTTAATTAGTTTATTAATAATTAGTTAACTTCTAAGAAAAACAAGAAAATTTACAAAACTTAATTTTCTATTATTTTAATGGTAATTACGAGGGTCCGGATTTTTATTGAATTAAAAAAATGCCATATTATAAAGCATATAGCTATTTAATTCCTAAGGCTATGTAGTAGGAGGCGTGGTGTAATGGCTAACATATCAGTACGGTCCACTGAAGATGCTGGTTCACTCCCAGCCGCCAAATAACCTTTTGCACTAGCCAAAGGAGAAAATAGCTATAGCCCAGCTGCTTTATATATTACGGTATTCGCTTTTATAAAAAATACCGGGTTTCGCGATATTGGTGAAATGTGAGCGTACTAGTAAAGTATAAAATAAGATAAAATAAAATGAGATTAAAAAATTCCGTGCTTTTATACGCACAAATTCCACTATAAAAAACGAGTAAGGTAATTACTCGTTTTTACCTTACTAATTGTGTAAGGTACTTAAAGCCACAAATAGAAAATCTTGAGAATATCTTTCAATTTTTACTAAAAAGTGTAAACAAATGTTTGACAAAGTAACAACATGCAACAAAAGATTTGCGCCAACACAATGATAAAGTAAAAACATGCAACAAAAGATTTGCGCCAACACAATGACAAAGTAACAACATGCAACAAAAGATTTGCGCCAACACAAAAATATTAAAAAAAAGAAATGTTTACTTATTTTTTAAACAAAAAGGACAATAGATTTCCAGAAAAATTGTTAAGTACTCTTAAAAAATGACAATAGATTTTCAGAAAAATTGTTAAGTACTCTTAAAGAATGACAATAGATATTGTGAAATATAATTCTGAAAATAACTATATTACATCTAAAAACGAGTTTTTTATTGCACAAACATTAAAATTGCATTAGTAACAACCATTTTCTGGCGAATATAAAAGTAGCTCAATCCTGCAACTAAAATCATTCACTTCAGTTTTTTAAATATTTCTTCATTTACTTGTTCCTCTCGCGAATTTACCTTTCAATTTATTTTAATTAAATTAATGTCCCCACATTTAAAGTCCACTTAATTTTATTAATTTATGTTTTATGGTTTAATTAAATTAATTTTTTATTAATTTATTTTTTGAATAAAATTACCACTTAATTTTATTAATTCATGTTTTACTTAAATTTAAGTCCTCTTTTTGTATTTGATAATTAAATTAATCTTTTTAATTTATTGATTTTTGCATAAATTAATGTTCCCTTAATTAAAGTCCATATAATTTATTTTTTAAATTATTGTCCCGTTATTTTTTACTTACATTTAATGCAATTTAGTAAAATCCATTATTGTTTAGATTAAAGTCTTAACGAAAAATCCACCTTTATTTTAAATAATTTAAAAAATTCTTCAAATTAAAAGCTTTGATTACAATTCAAATTTATTAATCAACATTATTAACAACCAAAAATGAATACAAATTCGAAAGCTGCTACTAAAAAAGGTAATTAAATTATATAATTAATAATTTTTAATTAGATGACCCAATCTTGCTCGATGATGATTCATCACGTGATAATGGTGAGTTATCTGCCTAGTATATAAATATAAAATTTGTTTTCAGAAACTAAATCAATCGATAACCAAAAGAACGCAGCTGTTGAAGGTTTGAATCATAACAAAATTCATTTTATTTTTTCAGCTGCTATAACTGCAGAAGAGATGGAAGAAGTGAGAGAATTTATTAAGGCCCAAAGAAAGAAGAAAGATGCCGCAGAAGCTAGAAGAAGACGTTCCGTGACGAAGACGAGTTCTTCGTCATCAAACAAAACGCCGACGCCCAAAAAAGCTAAAACATCAGAGAAAAAAACTGACGAGCAAAAAAATATTTTTGATCCTGTTATTAAGGTATGTAAATTATAGATTACTAATATTTTTTAAATTAAAGTCTATTGTTGAAAAAGCAAATGGACCTTCAGAAAAAGAAAAACAAGATGAAGAAGAGCTGCATCAGGCGATCCTTATTTATCAAATGGAAGAGGATGAAGATGAGTCAACTGATCCCGACTCAGACGAAGAAGTTGATTTAGGAGAAAACGAAGATGAGTATAAGAAAATGCGACTTGATCGTAATTTTTAAATCTTTTTATTTAATAAAAAAATCTTAGGAAAACTACGAAAAAAATTTGTTGTGCCTGAAGCGCTACTCAGCCGAGCCCAAATTCTTAAGAATCCTCGCAGTGGTATATTCGTATATATGTGTGAGTCTTGCCGCAACCACCAGAAGAAAAGGGAATATTTTCTCTTTAAAATCGGACATGCAGGATTGTCTATCTTGACCTTAGAATTGTGCGCAGAAGATTTGGATAAGAATATTTCTTTAGGAATGCACTACAATGGATATTTTGGTAAAAATTAATTAATTATGTTTATTGAATTTTCAGGCAACTCTTCAAAATATTTGCTATCAGGTTCGCAATCGTCAAAATTTGATAATGGTAAAATTATTTAAATGAATATTGAAACAATTATATTTCAAGATGAGAAAGTTTTGAAATTTTGTCGAGGTGCTGGCATTATAAAAGGAAAAGATAAAAAATTGTTAAACCTTATGAAGTATTGCTGGATTCTTCATCAGGTATATTGTTTTAAAATATTTAAATTTTTCTTTTTAGTGTTCACAGTGTTCAGAACTTACAAAGAAAATGGCAAGTGACCTATTTCTTCAGAAAAGTGCTGATAAATTCGAGCTTAGTTTCTTGGTATTTTTAATTTTAAGTAAACCAATTATCGTAATTAAGGTTTGCACCGTTTGTTCGCCGGCCAACATCGAGTACCAACAAAAGACTTACAATAGTGTCAACAAAAACTAGAAAATAGACAACTATTAAAATAACATTAATCTTTTATATTAAATAATTTTTGAGTAAAAATTTTTCTATTGAATTTACTGCAAAATCGTTAATTCGATTTATAATATCTTTAAAATATTTAATCAATTTTTTAAATCAAGATCAATTTAAGCAAGCTATATTTTATCTGACTTAAAGGTGCTATTCTAATTAATAGTTTAGAATATTTTTAATTTAAGATGGATCAAGAAATGTACGAGCAAGCAATTGATGGTCTCAAGGAAAGCGTCATTCGATTCTCCCGTCAACTAAATACTCTGGAGTACGTGCGCGAAGATGACAATATGCTGAAGAATGAACTATATGAAGCTTTCATGCAATTTCATGAACAACGTTATCCACTTTCCAAGAGTCAAGTGCATGAACATATACTTAGAGAAAGAAATGCTTTAGCAAAAATTGTAAATTTTTATTTATAAACTTATAAAACAAATTTAGGCAATTACTGAGGTTGTAAAAGAGGAGTTATATCTTGAGCTTCATAATCCATTTAGCAAATTCTGGTCGAAGATAGATTTAGAGATGGCAATCAAAATTTTCAATAAACATGCGAGCATTCACGGACCAATCGCGAGAGAAGGTTAGCCTACAACCCTATATATTAATTTTTAAAAATTTAGATTCGCCAATAATTTTTATGAGAGAGCACACTGATTCTTTAATTACGGTCCAACCCAACAAAGAAGACAAAGAAGTACAAACTGAAGA